AGAAGTGTGTTAAAGGTTGTTGAAACAAGTGATGGAAAATGAATGATAAAAACTGCTTTCAGATTCAAAACATGCACTCCTATGGTAACCTCAATTTGATCTTTAAAACATCTTCGTAAGTAGATAAGCTGGGAATTATTCATGATCTCACTTAAAAAAATAACAGTTGTATTGAGATAATTAATGTACCATAAAATTCACCATTTAGAGTGTATAATTCAGTAATTTTTAGTGTATTCACAAGGTTGTGCAACAGTCACCACTCTCTGATTACAGAACATTTCCAACATCCCCCAAAGAAACCCATACCCTTTAGCAGTTGCTGCCTAGTCTCCCCTAGTAAGCAATAATCTGCTTTCTGTCTCTATGAGTTTGCTTGTTCTGGACATTTCATATAATTGGAATCATCCAATATGTAGCCTTTTGTGTCTGGCTTTTTTCACTTAGAATGTTGTTGAGGTTCATCAGTGTTATAGTTCGTATCAGTACTCCATCCATTTTATGGCTGAGTAATAATACAGTATATGGATAGACTATGATTTGTTTATCCGTTCATCAGACAGATAGACATTTAGGTGGTGTCCATGTCTTGGCCATTATGAACAGACCTGTTATGAACATTCACGTACAAGATTCAGCACAAGTCTTTGCACAGACATACGTCTCCATTTCCCTATATACCTAGGAGGCTTGGAATTGCTGGGTCACATGGAAATACTCCATGCAACTTTTTGAGGAACTTCCAGATAGTTTTCCAAAGTGACTGCACCATTTTACCTTCCCACCAGGAATGTCTGAGAGCTCCAGTTTCTCTGCATCCTCTCCAACACTTGTTATTATTTGTTCCTTTTATTATAACCAGCCTAGTGGCTATAGCTCTCGTTTTCTAGGTAAGAACATAGAGGGTGTGTTTTTTGTCCAAATTTGGAGAGCTGGTAAATGGCCAAGCTTGAACATTTTTTTAAAAAGCAAATATTTATACGAATCATGCTCTGTGTCAGGCATTGTTTAAATCCTTTGCACTTAAGTTGTTTATGTTTTACAACAACCTGGAAGCAAGGCAGTATTATCATCTTTATTTATTAATGTATGCAGGGCCAGGGCTGGATCTGAGATGCAACATTTAAGGAGACATCACAATGCTGAGAGTGACTATCTCTCTTTTTTTTTTTTTTTTTATCAAATTGGAATATGGTTGCTTTATAATGTTCTGTTAGTTTCTACTGTACAGTAAAGTCAACAGCTATACATAGAGAAGGCAATGGCACCCCACTCCAGTACTCATGCCTGGAAAATCCCATGGACGGAGGAGCCTGGTAGTCTGCAGTCCATGGGGTCGCCGAGAGTCAGACACGACTGAGTGACGTCACTTTCACTTTTCACTTTCATGCATTGGAGAAGGAAATGGCAACCCACTCCAGTGTTCTTGCCTGGAGAATCCCAGGGACGGGGGAGCCTGGTGGGCTGCCGTCTTTGGGGTCACACAGAGTCGGGCACGACTAAAGTGACTTAGCAGCAGCAGCAGCAGTAGTGTATAAAATGTCGATCCCAGTCTCCCAATTCATCCCCCTCCTTCTCCCTTGGTTATCTATCCATTTGTTCTCTCTGTGTCTCTATTTCTACCTTGTAAACAGGTTCATCTGTACCATTTTTCTAGACTCCACATATATGCATTAATAAACAATATTTATTTTTCTCCTTCTAACTTACTTCAGTCTCTATGACATTCTCTAGGTTCATCCCCATCTCTGTGAATGACCCAGTGAGTACCTCCATTTGCATCCTATGTGTTTCAGAGGGACTAGTGACAGACCCAGATTGCATAATTAGCAGGTGGCAGAGCTGGGGTTCAAACCCAGGAAACCTGGCTTCAAAGTCCAAGTCTAACAACTGCTATACTAACATCAGTGTCCTTGACTTCCAAGTCAGGCTTTTTCTGTTACTTTCTCAAGACCTAACTTTCTAAACTTAGCTACGACTTTGACAAATGGAAAAATCCCAGAGCTGGGTGATGGGCAGATGAAGCAAAACTGATCAACCTAACAGCTCCCAGGCACCTACCACATGAGCCCCTGGAAGGGTTAACTGGCTGCACAGATCCCCTCGGCCACATCTGTGCTTATTATCCCAACTCTGCATAAATCTACCCTTGCAAGTGGCCAGATGGACTCGGTCCTGTGGGGAAGAGGCCATTCTGAACCATCAGGATTATTAGCTCTGACCGGCTGTAAGGGAAACACACATTGTCCTGGCCAAGTGGGGATGAATCTGCTGCTTGTCCAAGTGTTCTGAGTCAAGAATTCAGAAATCATATCTCTCAAAAGCACACTCTAATTGGCTGCTCATTCTCTGTAGTCTGTTTAACAGAATTAACTGGTTGCTTGTTTCTGAATCATCCTCTTTCCAATGGTGTTGCTGTTTGGATGGGTTTTGAATGGTTCTTAGCAGAGCCTCCCATGAGGCAATGTGAATATAAAAATATACATTTGCACATGTATATGTTACCCCCTCTGGGGTGATGGGCAGCCTTTGAAAAGATGCTTACACAAGTCATTGGCCAACTGTAAGTTCTCCCTCTGCCTCCTGGACAGACCAGGTCTGGACAGACCTCCAAGAGCAAGGTCAAGTCAGTCTGGGTTCAGCACCTCTCACTGATTGAGCTACAGCAGTGCATCCTGGCTCAAACCAGCAGAATTTTTGTCTGTGTCACAGGCTAAGAGGTTTTTGAAACAATTTTATAGCTATCTTTCTCCATTAAACCTGAAAAATTTTGTTGTTGCATTCTTACTCTTTTGCTTGGAATTTCTGTTCTATTCTGTGACTTTGTCAAAGTAGTGGGTCTGTGGACCCCAGCATCACCATTATCACCTGAGAGCTTATTAGACATGAAGAATCCTGCCCCTTCCCCAACCTACTGAGTCAGAATATGCCTCTCAATAAGATTTTTGTGCACATTCAAATTTGAGAAGCGTCACTCCACGTGTGTTTATTTCTCTATTACCTTCGGTTGGGGTTTCCACCCGTACTTACTTTGAAGCTAGAATTTTTATTAGGCTTTCAGATCTTTAAAAAAAAAGAAAGACACACACAGAGAAATTCTTTCCTTCACTTTTGCATGATGTCATTCATTTTACCTGGCCTGCCACAAGAAGAAAAAAGCAAATTACATCCAACATATATATATATGTGTGTATACACACACACACATATATGACTAACTTCTTAATTGCATCTCTTAAAGCAGCATTCTGAAACCCCCATCATTAAGAGTCCTAAGTGTTGCCAAGATTAACTGAGAAATGCCTAAAGGCAAAATAAACACCAGCACAGTTTAATTCAAAACTATATCAGCTAAGAATGAAGGTGCAATTTGTGATAAAGATGTTAATAATTAGTTGTGGTCTGTTAAATTTTATATTCAGTGGTTCAGTAGAGTGAAGAAAGAATTCTTCAAGAGGGCAGAAATTAGTGTTTCACCTTGATTGCTGTTTTAATGTGCTTATTTTAACGGGGCCATCCTGTAGGAACCCTTGGGCACATTTCCAGTTTTACATAAATGTAGAATTAATTATTATGGAAGCATATAATTTTAGAGCTGGAACAACCTTCGCAGTCATTTAATCCAGTTCAGTCATTTTACAAATAAGTAAAGAGTTATGTGACTTACTTAAATCCTTCCACACAGTATTGGAACCTTGCTTCCCACCTCTCAGATGAGTGATGATGAAACCTTCTGAGATTACTCAGATAGAAGTTCTTCCTCTTGCCTCAGATTACCAGCGCATTTCTTGTTGTATTGCTTCCAAGGCTGTTTCCCCACCTTGTGTTATGTTCTAGTTACTTCCAGTTGTATGGTTGAGGTCTAGGGAACCCCATCTGATTCACTTTTATATTTCTTCATCATTCCTAGCTCTGTATTTTGAAAACAGTAGTTGTACAATAAATTTGCATGGAGTGGTGTGCTAGAGCTGGTTTTGCCTCTTTGTTAGAGCTGATTGTGTCTTCACATTGGTAGCTTGCAATTGGCATGGTGGGAGCATTTGCACTATGGAAATGGACAGAAGCTATAAATCAGGGATTTTTTTCTCCCTGGGGGGAAAAACCCCTCTGTTTACATAATTGTCATAAGATCCCACTGGGCAACTGCTCTTGGCAAAACCTAAAGATCCATACGAATGTGAAGATGGCCCTTTACCCATTATTCCTTGTGAGTTGACTTAAATGATGGAGTAGCCAGTTGCTCAACCTCCTCAAGTTTCTTCAGGGATTGAGTTTGACCCAGGGAAAGTCAAGGCTCAGGACTGCATTAGTCTTTGGTTGCTTAGTTAAGTTCCTCTTGCCTGGAAAAGCTATTTGGACATGAATGGTCATGGAAACAGGGTCTGAAATATTAGTACAGTTGAGTAAGGAAAAAACCCCACTAACTATTATTGGCAGGAGAAAAGTGAACAAGATGTTACTATGGCTGAGATGACTATTTTCTCTTTATTCTTCTCAAATACTATATATAAAATAGATAACTATTAATAATGAGAACCTACTGTATAGCACAGGGAACTCTACTCAATACTCTATAACGGCCGATATGGGAAACGAATCTAAAACAGTGGATATATGTATAACTGACTCACTTTGCTCTATACCTGAAACTAATACAACATTGTGAATCAATTGTAGTCCAATAAAAATAAAAAAACCTTCAGTGGCTCCCTACAACCTACAAAACACCCAAACTCCCTGACATAAGACATATACTAGCCACAGCTTACTGTTCTAACTTCATTTTCTACCGATCACATCACCCACTGTTGATTCCACTTTCATTCTACGTTCCAGCCTCTGGAGAGCTTCTGTTTGGGCCTAACGCTGGAAAGCTCTCCTGTTACCTCTCTGTTCCACCACAGGCTCTCTCTCAGGCTTCTGTTCCTACCCAGTCCCCTCTCCCATGGACCAGAGGCTCCGGATAACATGAAAATCCTCTCTTGTGTGTTTCTCTTTAGGAGCAGGACCCGAGGTCCCATCGGCCCTGGCAAGTATGGTTATGGGAAAGCCCCGTACATCTTACCATTGCAGACAGATTCTGCACACCCACCCCAGAGGCTTCGGCGGCAGAAGCCCTCACCCCGGAATCCCAGGTCCCAGGGGGCCTCTGGCTCTAGCCATGGCTACCACCCTTCAGCTCACCAGGGCCCCCAGCATGGACCTCTGTACCAGAGTGACAGTGGCCCGCATTCTGGACTGCAAGCCTCAGAGGGCTCTGTCTACCAGCTGCCTTTGACCCGTGACCAAGGCTTCCCTGCAGCCTCCAGTCTCTTCCACAGCCAGGAAGCAAGCAGCAGCCCTGGGCCGGGGGCCCCCAGGGCAGCTCAGAGCTTCTCCCAGCCCACCAGATCTACAGCCATCTCCTGCATCGGGGCCTATCGGCAGTACAAGCTGTGCAACACGAACGTGAGTACATACCGCCTGAGACTGGCCCTGGAAACAGCTGCTTCTCTTATCTTTCTGTTGGTCGGCAGTATGCACGATAGAAGACAGCAAGGGCATGGTTTTTTAGACCGTGTGAATGCTCCCTTCCTCTCATTCCTCTTCATGTGTTCTCCCATATACTTTTTTAAGGTTATTACTTTAGTAACTTACAGATGACTTCTGGAGTCATTTATTGATGATCACTATTGCTGATCAAGCCTACTGCCACATTCTCAGTGGCTTTATATTAACACAATTTTTTTTTTGCTTATTGGCCTGTGAGTCAGGTGCAGTTTAGCTAATTTAGGGCAACCAATGATGGTGCCAAAGATGGGGGAGATTAGGGAGATTTGACTATCATGGGTATCATCCAGTAAGTTTCCTGGAGGTTCCCTGAAAAAGTCTGACAGTGAAACACTGCTGAAGATGCCATAGCTGATGACTCTACAGCAAAGCAAGTTATAAATGGAAGCTATACAAGATGACCAAAGATGCTTTTAAAAAAAAAAAAAAAATTAGCTTGTGTGCTGTGCTCACTCAGTCATGTCCAGCTCTTTCGACCCCGTGGACTCACCAGGCTCCTCTGTCTATGGAATTTTCCAGGCAAGAACACTACAGTGGGTTGCCATTTTCTCCTCCAGAGGGCCTTCCTGACCCAGGGCTTGAACCTTTGTCTCCTGCATCTCCTGCATTGGCAGGAGGATCTTTTTTTTTTTTTTTTTTAACCACTGAGACACCTGGGAAACCAATATATCAGTTTAAAGACTTTATATTGAGTTGGCCAAAAAGTTCTTTTGGGTTACAGAAAAGCCTGAAAGAACTTTTTGGCCAACTCAATATAAAAGAGAAAGAAATAAGAGAATCTTTAAAGGTTAAATTTCCAAGTTGCTATATTTCTCATTAATTATTTAATCTGCCTTAATAGTCTTACTGGGTAACAGGACAGCTGTTATATATTAGCTTCAATTTCCTCATTAAAAATATATTTCCTGCCACAGAGTCCATAGAAATGACTTAATTTGTGATTTTAATAATTCCTCTGAATGCCTGGATTTCTTTTCAGCATGTTCTTCCACTGACAGATTTCAGGAATTATTGATTTTTTAAAGCAGTAATTTTCCTAAAGCCATTACTAATCAGTCAACCAGGAAGTGTTAACTGAGCATCATTGCTTTTCTTGTACTGGATGAGGCTCCATGGAAGATAGAAGTCATTTTATCTACCTCATAGAGTTGTTATGAGGATCAACTGAGCTGATATTAAGAAAGTGCTTTGTAAACAAAACAAAACAAAACAAAATACTTGTGCTCATCATAAGACATGGTCCCTGTTCTTGAATATCCATTGCAATTCTTTTAAAATGAAATTAATTAATTTCTAATGTAGAATACACTCTCCCATTGATTAGTATGTGTCTTAATTTTGAGGACCAAGTAATCCATGAAGAGAAGGAAAAGAGAGAAGGCATTTAGCATATATCAGCTTCCCAGGTGGTGCTAGTGCTAAAGCAGGAGAAATAAGAGATGTGGTTCAATCCCTGGGTCGGGAGGATCCCCTGGAGAAGGGAATGGCAACCCACTCCAGTATTCTTGCCTGGAGAATCCCACGGACAGAGGAGCCTGGTGGGCCACAGTCTATCGGGTCACAAAGAATCGGACGTGACCAAAGCAACTTAGCGCACCCTTAGGACACTCAAACAGACCTGATGTAAACTTAGCATTTCTTTCATTTAACCTCTGTTTTTGAAGCATGCACTTTTTTTCCAGGCCTATGCTGCCAACAGCAGGGCTGTATTTGCCTATGTAGAAGCTGTGGTTTCTTCTGGTGCTGGATAACTCCACTACTGAGGAGACTGAATTGCAAGGAATATTTTTTTAAATTCTCATGAATTCATGATGTCTGCATCATTTTGCAAATAGGTAAAGCAGTGTCTCACACATCTTCTTAGACAAAGAAGTAAATGTTGACAAAGGATTGTACAGGTTTAAGTCCCTTCTTTTCACTGTAACACTTTGCACCCCGTCACCCCAAGCCACATCCTACTTATCCTTATTGAGAGACATGTTTCCTTAGAGGTCACAGTAATACACATCTTCTTTTTAAAATACTGGGGTATGGTTGCTTTACAATGTTGTGTTTCTGCAGTAGAATGAAGTGAATCAGCTATATGTATATGTATATGTATATTCCTCCTTCTTGGACCTCCCTCCCACCCTCCCAACCCCCCCCATCGATGTGGCCACAGAGCCCCGAGCTGAGCTCCTCGTGCTTTATAGGAGGTTCCCACTAGCTGTGTATTTTACACATGGTAGTGTACATATGTCAGTTGTAATCTCCCTATTCATCCCACCTGCTTCCCCCTGTGATGTTCACATGTCCCTTCTCTACGCCTGCATCTCTATTCCTGCCCTGCAAATAGGTTCATCTGTACCATTTTCTAGATTCCGCATATGTGCTTTAATATATTTTATTTGTTTTTCTTTTTCTGACTTACTTCACTCTGTGTGACAGACTTTAGACCCGTCCATGTCTCTACAAATGACCCAGTTTGGTTCTTTTTATGGCCAAGTAATATTCCTTTCTATATATGCAACACATCTTCTTTATCCATTCCTCTGTCCCAGTGTTCATTGCAGCACTATTTACAATAGCCAGGATGTTGAGGCAACCTAAATGCATATCTTCTTTTTTTTCAGCCCATGGCTTCTTGTGATTTGGGCTATGCCCCATGAACACTTTAAGACTCCCTGTTAGTGGCTCCTAGAACCACGCCTTGGTCTAATGATTTGTAGGAAGACCCACTGGGCTCAGCATACAGTTGAAGGCACAGCTGTGATTTATGACAATGAAAGGCTACTGGGAAAATCAGCAAAAGGCAAGGTGCATGGGGCCAGGTCCAGAGGAAAGCAGGCTCAGTCTTCCAAGAGTCCTGTCCCTGTGGAGTTACATAGGATGTACTTCTTCATTCCCTCAGCAGTGATTATTACATGTGTGAGATATCATCTACCAGGGAAGCTCATTACAGACTCCATGGCCAAGGTTTATACTGGGGCTAGCTCAGAGGCACCCTCTGCTTGCTACTTACTAAAGTGCCAGGCTCCCAGAAGAAAAGCAGGGGCTTAGCATAAAATATATTGCTTGTACAATATAGCTGGAGCATAGTGACTCACTCTTACTACTTAGGAAGTGGTGGGAACCCTTCTGAAATCCAAGTCCCCAGACATCAGCCAAAGACCAACCTTGCAAGCAGGCTTTTCTGAGAGCAGTCTCGTCCTGCTGGGCTGTCTTATTTGTGCATTCTCCATGTGGACCCATGGTTTCCAGTATCTTAGCCTCAATGACCTTATGTAGACATGTTCGTATACTTCTCAATGTCCAAAAGGGGTGATTGCATGAGTCCCCCAATTATGTAAATCTTCCTACTCAAAAATGAAAGAGGTGAAGGGCAGTGCTATGAACAATTCCCTGTGGACAGGGAGTGCAGGCTTTCACTTATGTCCTTTCAAAGATTAAGAAATAATGCATACATTTAGAGTTCTCTCCCAGTTATCTTGTAGAAGAAACAGAAGGGAGAGTAACCCAGGTCTGGTTGGAAATATCCACTGATTTCAGAACTTCATCCCTTTAATTAAGTGCCCAGTACATCCCACCCCAGTTGTTTTATTTATTTTTTATTAAAAAAATGTTTTTGGCTGCACCATAGGGCATGTGGGATCTTTGTTCCCCAACCAGGGATTGAACCAGTGCACCTTGCAGTGGAAGCTCAGAGTCTTAACCACTGCCTCCCCTCCCCGGGGAAGCCGCTCCCACTCCAGTTCTTGATGGAATGCCCCCTTTCTAAGACTTCCTTCACAGTAAGGGGCTCAGTTCTGAGCTGTGAGGTCATGTGTATGGCAGGTGGTCTGAATTAAGGGAAATGTTTTTGCAGGCTTCCAAATCTCGGAACATTGTCTCGTCACTGGTCATGATGTCTCCTTCAACACAGTGGAGAAGGTGCTAAATGAGCTACTTGTAAGTCATTCGCTCAGTGCTGGAGCACTTAGTGAGGGGAAGAACTCTCGGAGTATAGGGCAGGAGGCCACAGGGTTGGGGAAGGGAGCAGCTGAGCTGGGCTTTCAAGGATGGCCAAAACGGGGGAAAGAGCGTTTGAGGTCAAGGAAACAGCATAGTCACGGACAAGACAAGCAAGTCACGGTGCCTGCCTGGTGGCGGGGACTCTCTTTTGACCTTTTACCTCCTCTTTTGTTGTTGTTCAGTCCCTCAGTTGTGTCCCTCTCTTTGGTACCCCGTGGACTGCAGCACGCCAGGCTTCCCTGTCCTTCACTACCTCCCGGAGTTTGCGCAAACTCATGTTTTTACCCTCTTGCCTCCTCTTATCCACTATAAATAATCACAGTCTTTCTCCTTTCTTTTCATTAACTTTCTTTATTTTATTCTTCCTTTTTTCATTTCTTACCTGCTGTGCTGTGCATGGCATCACCATCTTAGTTCCCCAACTGGGGATCAAACCCGTGCCCCTTGCAATGAAAGTGTGGAGTCAACCACTGGACGGTCAGGGAAGTCCCAAATAATCATGGTCTTAATGGGCAATTTATTCTTTAACATCTCAGAATATAGAAAAATCACATGGTCTTGCAGGTCTTTCTTACATGAGATTGACGGGTGAGAAACATTTAAACACAGTAAAAAATCAGAAAACAATTCTAATCAACTGGCTTAGTTGGTTAAGTCTTAAAGCTTTAGTGAGCTTGGGAGCAAATCTGAGCTGGATATAAACCCCAGCTCCAACACTGGGAGTTGCGTTTCCTTGGCCAAGTTACTTAACTCTTTGAGGACCATCTGTAATCTGGGGACAGTAATTGTACCTACTGCACAGAGTTGTTGTGAGGTTCAGATAAGGTCAGGTTCAAGCTTGGCATGTGCTGACACACAGTTAGCAGAAAAAAGTTTTGGACCTGGATAAGTGAATGTGGCTGAAGATA